GTTGTTGTTGCTATTGGTTGTGGTGGTGATGGTGTTGTTTTGGTATTTTCATCGTCTCTGTCTTGTCCACGTTCATGTTTAGGAAGTGCCATCCTCGCTGACCTGCCTCGCGTCTTGTGTCAACTTGTTGGTTTTCGCGTGTACATCTTCGAGCTTGTGTGGTATTTTACACAAATCGGCACCGACTAAATTCGAATCTCCTAAGGTCTTTCCATCAGTCCAGCCAGCGTAAATCCGTCATCTTACTCCTCACACTTGTCTGTTACATGATCCAATCCAATCCAGTCGACCACTATCAAGAAAATCGTTGGTGATAGTGGGCAGCAACCTTGTCTTACTCCCTCCTCTATTCACTCCACTTCACTTCACTTCGTTTCACTTCAAATGCATCACTGAGCTTTCCATTGTGAGTCACTTGACATGTAGCATCTAGCATGCAGGATATATTATATAGCTGTTGAATGAGGTTGATAGAGATTTGTGGCACTGAAACCGTGGTGTTGAAGTAGGTGCTTGCCAAATCACTTCTCGGTTGACGCTATTGAAGGGAGGTGTTTTCAGTGTGGATGTAGTTGAGGTGTAGTGTTGACTGGCATTGTATGGTATGTTGTGTGTTGTGTGTTTTGTGATGATGTGTGGTGTAGTGTTGCAATTTGATGTGGAGATGATTTGTTTTTTGTGAAGTGAGCTGGCCAGCCTTATCAGGTTGTAATTTTGAATTCTGAGCATTTTGTAGTCTTTCCGGGATGTTGTGGCTTAATATGTTGCTTGGTGTTTACAGAAGCATAATTCCGCGTCACTTCTTATAAAGCCTTATGTCACCCTTTTTTGGGAATTTGTCAAGATGGGAATTTTCCAATCGGCAGGTACCTTCTCTCCCTTCCTTTGAAACTTTCTGTTTTGTAGCGTATCCTTTGTTTTCTGAGTCTGTTTTCAATGTTTTTGGAGGAATTTCATCTAGTTCTGCTTCTTTCCCAACCTTTGGCGTCTTCATGACGTTCAAGACTTAACTTCTGTTTTTGTTGGCGAGCTAAGTAATTTCTAAGCACACTTTCTGGAAAGTATTTATAGCCTCTTCCACTTAACTCTGGACAGTGAAATGTCTGGGTTGCATAATCTGCTCAAACACTGTAGAAATATCTACACATGTTGGAATACCCAGGCTATTCCTGCTCTTAAACATTTGTTGAGACTCTTTAAGACCATGAGATGTTTAAATAAGGCATTCTTCTTAGCAGACTCCCAGCTGAAGGATAATAAACAATAACGGAATGTGCATCAACTTCGTAAACCACTATATAATAGCTGATAGCCCAGGAGGAATTCGTAAAACAGACAGCACAGGCAACAATAACAGGATTCCTAGCGGTCAACTAATGTCCAACAGAACAAGAACAATATAACATGCATGGATTTTCATAAACAAGTAAATATGAGTGGAAAACACGCGAATTGCAACTGACCTGCGTGGCATGACACTGAAATCAATAAAAACATTAAACCAAATACACAACCAATGAAGCCGACATGATAAATGTAGCATGACGGAGTATAATGTATGGGATATGAAAGTGCAATGTAGATAAATCAACAAAAAACAGCTTGTAGGAAACAAGTCATTCCACATGACTCATTAAGATGTTGGGAAATGACCTTCTAACGGTCAAAAGATAGCATTCCGTATTGGTTTGCAAGTCGAAAGGCGTGTGTTCAACTGAACCTATAGGATACCGTCAGTACACTTCAATCTATGTATATCAAGTTGACGAGTCGTAAACTGAATGAAATGTTCTCCCCTAAGTTAAATAAATAATGTTGCTTATTCTGTACACACCTTTTTATATATTTTTTCGGTTAAACTCATCATACACACAAGGGCATTTCAATAAATTCATAATTCCCATTGTGATATCAAAAACAATATATTCAGAGAAGAGTACTCTTTCAAACAATTTATTCTCAAGCTGTGCATTCATATATATATATATACCACATAATTCCTATAGTTGGTTGCCGATCATGAGGAAAATAAACCTCATCCAGTCATTCTGCTATCGAAAAGTACGAAGTGTTTTTAGCACAGACTGTGTGGAGGGTTGGACTTGACATTTTAAAAGATAGGAATACGGAAAACGACTATCCTATTGAATATATTGATAAACATATGTGGAAAAGACATGCAAAACCAGTCATTAACTCGGTTTCCAAAGAGAGTTTATTCATGAATCTAGAATTTAAAGATGATGTAACATCAAACATCTTGAAAACTCATCTTTTGAGATCAGTTAGTATGACTTTTTTCAAATCAGAATTTCATTTGACTTTTACTGGTCCTAAATTGTTCTCCATGTGTGTAACAGCCAATGTCCCTCGACAGGCCACCTCTATGTGTATTCACCAGTTCACCTGATCTTGTATAGCAAGATACATCGGACGTAGTCAGACATTACTCTCAACACGTATACCAGAACATAATCCACCTTGGCTTTATAAGTTGTACAACCCTGTTGTCATTTGTTATATTCTTGTGGTGACTAATTGACGTAACCCGAGTTATATATGTTTGCGATAACAGAAAGCATATTGCAACGTCAAAAATATGTACAAAATACAAGGGTTTATATATATTAACAATGACCTTGGCTATTTTTAGGCCTATCTAGATTTGAATTCTGTTAACTTTTCATCTCTTCAATCAATCTGATATTCACACGTTGATTCATATGCTTTCTCCCGAAACTTCTAGACAAAGCGATTGATTTTAAGAGACTTTAGAAATGTAGAGGTTTTTATGCAGATTATGGCAATCTCAATAATTCGGACTTTCATACTGATAATTACTATTCGTTGATATGCTTGTAAATCTCCGTCATTTTACTAAATCGAATTGTTCAACCTCTATTGGCATATGGGCTCTTATATAGATGCCTCTGTATTGTCAGAATGTTAATTGTGGTAATTTACTTGCTTGAGACTAGCAGAGGACTCCAGGACGCGCATTTCATTCTATTTGGGACTTGTCAGGTGGATGTATCGGAACCCAAACTAGCGGTGTTGTTTCTACTGAAACACGAACCTTGTACCCAAAGCTTCAGACACCAGAATGTTATCCATTAGTCAAGTATTGTGCGATGGGAATAACATCACTCAAATAAGAAGCAGGTCCATTCATCTGACGAGTCCAAAATAAGACGAAAAGCGTGTTCTGGATCCCACTGTTAGCCAGAATCCACTAGTGTACAGGCGTCCGCACAGAAGCCCATATATCAGTAGAGACTGATGAGTTCTATCTAGTCAATGATCGGATAATAAAAGTAACAACATAACTAGCAACATTATTATAGTTATAACGAGTGACTTCAAAGGCTATCCTAACAACTAGTGAGATAAACAATTACGTTTCTGTTGGGGAACCATTGAAAATCTGGGAGCACTGGACAGCTGTCTCGTCCTAGTATGGGACTCCTCAGCAGTAGGCACCCACGACCCCACTGGGTAGGGATCGAACTAAGGACCTTCAGGTTTCACGGGGAACGCGTTAAACATTCAGCCACTGGGTCGGTTTCCAGTGGTTCACAATTTCTAACTTCTGTCAAGTCCCGTGCTCCCAGATTTTCAATGGTTCCACAAACTGATGTCAGTCCATGATGAATACTACTAAATTAAAAAAAATCCTCATTCACCTCAAAATCAACTACGTTTCAGTATTTTATAAAAATCTTCCTTCTCAGCCAAAGAACCGAAAGTTGATTGGCTATTTTAACCAATCAGGTTTCGCTATTCCGTCTAGAAAGGTGGTTTTCCATAAAATAGAGAAACCTGATTGGCTATCTCGGCAGTTGTTAGGGTGTCAACTACCGAAATAACCAATCAGGTTAAGATATTCGGCCGGGAGAGTAGTTTTTCATTAGATAAAGGGACTTCATTGGTCATCTGAATAGTTGTTAAGATTGGTCTTCAAAGTCATCCCGTTATAACCAGCGTTATTATTTCAATTTCCCACCATTTAAGTTCAAATATTTCATTGTTTGATCGGCCCAGGTGATGGTGGTGGTAAAAGTAGTGGAAATCAACTACACTTTGGTTTTTAATTTATTTTTAAATAAAGAATAAAATCTTTGATCTCATTTTGATTGTTTTTTTTCAGTGTAGTATAAATTGGAGAGCGTGAAACAAACACCTGTCTTGTTTTTATCTCAATTTCACCTTCAACTGAGTGAACTTCATATATATAATTGTAATAAGAAAACCTATAGCTTAAAGTAAGGCGTAACCTAGACTAAGTTTGTACGCTTATTTATTTTTTCTATACGTGTGTATTTGTGTGTTTCTAAGGTTTGATATTTGTATGTGCTTGTTCATGGGTTGCTCTTTATTTTTTTCCTTTCAAGAGAAACATATTTTAACCAAACAAAATTTACCTTACACTTTAATTGTATATAACTGACCAGTTAACAGTACACGAAATTGGTTGAAATGAGAAAGGAAACACCCAATCACTGAAGAAAGCAATAAACACAACAACTAATAAAAGAGAGAAAATAATTATACTGATGATAATAATAACAATAGTGACTTAAAGGAGTATAGGACAGAAACTATTATGCACAATGTATTCATATATTTATACAATACATTATTTGATAGACGTTTAACGATTATGCAATCATATTTCATTGTATATATATATATTGGATAGATTAGAATTTACTACGATGATGAAAAAAAGCAACATGATTTATATTGTTGGAGTGTCTTAAATATTGTTTAACTTAATTTTGTGAATAATTATCATCTCATTTGAAATACGAATAGAAAGTGATATACTAACATATTATACAGAAACATTACTGTTTTCATTAGATAAAAGTATATAAAAGTACAATATGAATATATCTGAAAGTATTTGATTATAAAAAAATGTATTGAAATGATTAAATAATTATTCAATATATGAATTATTATAACTCTCCATCATGCTTTCTAATAGTGATTATGTAGAAGAATGTAAAATTAATTTTAAGATAATATGACAGAGAAAATTAATAATTTTAATAGTATAATTACTAATACAAATTCAACTAATGTTGAAATGTTATCAACAAATCAATTCATTGAATTACCATTAATTGCATCTTATAGTAATGCATTCTTGGAGACTATTGCTGAAGAGACAAGTGAATTAGAAACATCAGAGAATGGTACATTTAATAATGATATTTTTGATATGGATAAGATAAGTTTTTGTACTGATAATGATATAAAAATATGTGATATTGATTTATCTAATCAGTTATCTGGATTAAAGCAAGATAATAATAATAATAATAATGATAATAATAATAGTAATAATAATCAAATTTCACTTGATAATTTCGAAAATCTAAATGAATATTTATCAAAGAATTTTATATCTTCATCAAATACATTATATAAAGTAAAACAAACTGAATTTTCTTCAGATAACCTTGAAAATAATCAACAACCATCAACGAAATTAAAATTATTTCAACAACAATTATATAATTCATGGACTTTAAATCTACCTGTTAAATTAGATGATAAAAAAGAGATTAATTCATTTGAAGATCAATTATACACTGATTTAGGTAATTCAACAAATTCTGGATTAACTAAAAATGGTTTTCTAAAAGATGTTAATAATAATAATAATAATAGTACTAGTCAGTATACAAATTCTGTAAATACTGACGGATTTGTTGAATTAACTGAAGATTCTAAAGAGAATCATAAAAAAATAATCAATACAATAAAACAGAATAAATCACAAAAAGAATTCACTTTACCATTATGGAATGATGAGGCTATAGATGAAGAATTATTGATTTTATCAACTGATTATAATAGAAATCAACTATGCTGGACATTGACACCAAGTTATGCTACAATGAATTCATCTTTATCCCAGTGTAAAACAAATGAAGATGTAAAAATATTAATTGATAAGAAACTGATCAATATCCAATAGTATATGAAAGTAATTATATAAAATATGCTCCAAATGTTATAGGTATACCACCAGAGAATAACTTTACACCTGATAATATGAATACTGTTAAACAAACAGTACATTCAAAAGGAAATTTATCATCAACATTTTTACCTTATAATACTGTACAGAATACAAATAGAATATGTCAAGTAGCAACAGACAATTCATTGATGTCACAATTTGTGAATAATGATAACCAATTAATGACAAATTTTGATAATAATCTAGTATTCTCTCATACACCGAAACAAATATTTACTTCAGATTTTCAAAGTTTACCTGAAAAATACTATAATAAACTAAGTGATACATTTATAGAAACTTCAAGGAATCAAGGATCTTCTTCATCATTTGTACCGCATACAATACAAATGGAGCATAGTACATCACTTCAGAAATTATCTAACACTGATTGTATTCCATCATATTGTGACTATTCAATGGAAATGTTTAATCCTAATTATTCATCTATAAACTTTTTTAATGATTTTAAAGACAATTATGAACATAAAGATCAACAGAATAGGTCATGTAACGGAAGTTATTCATTGACAGATACATCAAAATGTCAATTAGATCCGATAATATCTGTCAAAGGTTTGAGTGATAATTCAAACACTTCTAATCATAAAAATCAGTTTACAGCATCAAATATATGTTGTAATCCTCAAATGAACAATTTTCATGTAAGCCAACGAAATTATCCTACAAATATATCTACTTTTAAACCAGTATCAAAAGACTTTTCTTATACTTTATCAGCTGCTCATAAAGATTTTAATTACTCTATTAGTATTATACCTGAAAATGATTCATTGAAATGTACTTTGAAAGAACCAAACAATTCAAATACAAATTCTTGTTACTTTGAATCAAATTGTACATTATCTCTTCAAGGTAAGAAAAATAAAGATTGGAAAGATAGTCTACCACCAGTGTTGTTTGAAATGAATTCAAATTTCAATGAAAATGAACAAATTCAACCGACCACATATCATCATGTTAAAAGTCCTGATTTATATTCTACAGACTATTTAACTAACTTTTCATATTCACAAATAGGAAATCATTCCATGTTAGATAATAATGAAGTAGTTAAGTCAAAAATACAATTATCAGAAGCACAACCTATGGGATTCAGTAGATATAGAAATGATGATGACATATTTTGTCAAAATTCAGAGATTAATTATATGAAATATGAAGAGAAACATTCCATTCCTGTAAGTTCACAGCAACAAAAAACTTATCCAAATAGTTATAATACAACATTTAATTTGAAAAACAACAGCTCATTTCGTCCATTACAAAGATCACCTGCTGTTGTTGGTGTAAGTGATTTACTGATAAAATCTGATGCAGAATTGAATAGTATATTAGAGAAGATAAAAAGTGTATCGAACAGTAATCATCCAAAACTGGAATCACATGAATTACTGAAACAAAAGTGTAGCTTTGATTCTAGTCCAGATAAAAGTACTTCAAATGGAGGCTTATCTAGTAATCCATATCAAGATGATGTATCACCGGCTCGTCGACGATTTTTTCCACATTATTTAACTCATGATGTCAAACTGAATTATTCAACTGGTATATCACATCAAGATAGTGATGATATGGAAGAGGAGAAAAGGAGCTTTTATGATTATGGTTGTGATGATGAAGAAGATGAAGATAAAATGGAAGATGAAGATGAATTGTATCTATGTAATGATAATATGGATAAAGGGAATCAAAAATTTCACACAAATTACAGTTTATTCAACTCAAAATATTCCACTCACAATAAAAATGCTTATAACAATAATGCTAGTGTAATACAAAGAATTCGTGAATTAGAACTACAGAATCAAGTTTATCACTGGGAGGATAATTGTATACACTCTACAGATAAATCTTGTTCGAAAGGTACAACTAGGAATATTAATAATAATATCAAAAACAGTTCTAATAATAAGAATACAAATAATAAAAATTTTTCAACTATAAATGAAGTGGAAAATGAAGATGATGAAGATGAGAGAAAAATGTTGAGTACCTATGAATGTGAAGATAATGATATGCCATTTATAGATAGTGATTCATTTATACTTGAATTTTCACATTTAAAAGGTTTACTTCCTAGAATAGCTGATTTGGAAGAGATTACACTAAGTTCAAGTAAGTCTCATGTTACATTTCTGTGCTTTAATTTGAGATTTTTTTATCACTCATGCCATAGAATAGATATAGCCGTAGCGTTGGTCATAATAAAGGTCTATGTTCCTGATGATAAATATGAACATCGTCATCGATACTCTGATGGTTTAACCTGGGAGCACTGGACAGCTGTTTCATCCTAGTATGGGACTCTTCAACAGTGCGCACCTGTGACCTTGCCAGGGATCGGAATCCAGTCGTCCACATTTCCTACTTCTGTTAGTACACTATATATATGATTCATTCCTTTTAATTCTATGGACCAACATTTGTAGCACTCATTTAAGTTATACACTATCTAACAGCTGAACAACATTCAGTCGTTCATTGATAGTGTTTAAAGGGGAAGTAAATTTCATCGGTTTACTATAATACCCTTTCGACTGAGATCAGAAATCATCACTTGTAGGAACTATTGGTATGATCAAAGTTATTGATTACTCTGTATATCCACATAATACCACTAAAATGCTCACTTTTATTGATTAAAGGCAGACTTCCAAGTAAAATTCTATCTAATTTTTGTTGGATATTGCAGTTGTTCACTTCTTTTGTGAGACAGCCATTTACACTAAGAATCATTCACACCTATACAACCATCTTGAAAATAGAAATAATTTCATAGTAGTCCACTGGTACCGTCGTTGACTGTAGCACTGAGTAATGTAGGTTCAAATCTTTCATGGAACCATCAGTTTCTTCAAAGCTACAGATGCGCTTTGTTGACGAATGCTGAGAAGTCCGAAACTTAGTTTGGACATTGCTTTCAACTGACTGGATTCTACCACATCACCATTTCTAAAGCAAATAACTGAAATTGGGTATCGTTTCTGAAATTTTAATAACATAAACTCGTGAAACTGATTACTAATCTAGACAGAAATGATATCAAGGAGATCACTATGGAAATCATGTTGCAACTATTCGCTTACGTTTTCATGGTATGAGAGTTTCACTAAACATAACTTTGATCTTGTCTAAAACTGAGACTCTGTACATTCAGAGATCATGTTACAAAATGTTTTTCCTCACAAAAATTCGAATATTTAGTTAGACTCTAGATGTTATGAGAGCTAAAAGTTATTTTTTTTTAAGGAAAGGATCATACGCATGTGTAGTAATGAATTCTGCTTTCAAGGTCATATCTAAACGGTTTCTATTCAGATCCCATTAACTGATTAAAACTATCCTAAGAATGTTTGATTAAACTTGCTTAATCAACAGCCGTATTGTTTTGTGTGTGGTTATCTTGTTATTTCGTCTATGATTTATTTTATGGACGTATTTAAGGTAGCATACACCTGGAAAAGTTACTTAGTGCAAACATGAAACGTTGGATAATGCATACCTATTGGATCTCAGTTTGTGTAGACTATCTCTAAAATCTTTAATTCATCCAAATCAGCAACATAAATCAAAGTTCACGGATTACAAATGATATATAAATATATGTAGGGGGGGGGAGAGATCAGAACATATTTTTGTAAACGACTATGGAAGCAGCAAATATTCGGTTACAACGAAGGATAGGAATACTAAATAAGAGATTAAATGCAGAGTGTGTAGGGCATTCGACTATTGAAGTTTAATCGTTGCAGCTTTGGATTTGACAATGAGCTAGTAGTGTACACTGTCTGTATAACTTTGATTTTGAGTTAAAAACCACTTTTCTGGAACAAATGTGCAATAGATAAGATATCTGGACAAATGCCATTTGATTTTCTTTAAAAGACATTAGAATGTTTGAAAATTTGCCTGTTTCATATATTCACAATTGAAGCCTTCCATTAGAATCAACATTAATTTTTTTTAGATATAAGTTATGGCGTACTATTATGTCTTTCAATAACCGCTGAACTGCTGAGTATACATATTCACCTTTGTTCATAAAATGGAAATATAGGGCGGGAACATTTTGAAAAATGAAACTTCTTGATAAATCCAATGTTTTTCAGTATGTGAGTGTATGGTAGTGATGAGTAGTGGCTAGGAGCGGAAACCAGGATGCATGTTTTGATTCTATTTGGAAGTTTTCAGCTAGAAATATCTGCCTCCAAGAGAGTGACGTTTTTTTCCAATCGGACTCAAAGCCAGGACCGATCACTCCAAGTGTCACAGTGTTATACACTAGGCCATTGAATCACGATAGCCGCTCCATGTGTGACGAGTAAGTTACGAGCAATAACAAATGAGAAATGGTTATCGTCCCTCCGTGGCTTTATGGATAATGTCTTGGCGTTTGAAGCGATGAGTAAGAGGTTTGAGTGTCATTGGGAAAAACACTCACTGGGATGTAGGTATATCCAGCTGACGAGTTTCAAATAGCATGAAACGCGCATCCTGGATTCTTCTGCTAGCTACAACCAACCAGATTACCATAATTAGCGTTCAGGCAATATCGAGGTATCCGCATAGAAGCCCATACGCCAATAAAGGTCGAACAGTTCGATCCAATAAAACAGCGAGGAATTACAAGTTTATCAATAAATAGTAATATGAGTATATGCTTTAAAAAATTTACTTCACAGACATTTAAAATATGAGAAATGATTGTCAGCGTCAGAATATTGTACGACAAACAGTACTAATAGAGTTAAATCTTATGGTTAATATTCCATTTTTACATTATCAAGAACCGAAATAACTTAGATCACTGTAAATACTGAAATACTTGATTGCCCATTAATTACTCAGTCTATTCTTTACGATAAGCAATGCGCTATATTCTATGAAACCAGTATTTAATGATAAACAATACTGAGAAGTGGTAAATAACTTTATGATTAGTTTAATGTTCCGCATAGGCTATTCACTTGGAAAGTGATATTCAACGCGAAGTTGCACAAAATCAATGTAAAATATAGTTGAAATAACAAAATTTCACTGTACTTTGGCCTAATAAATTTAACCACAGAAAAAACGCCGTTATGTTTGTTTTCTATTCATATCACTTTTAACGACTTTTGGTAATGTTATAAATAGAATTTTTGTAGTTTGCACATAGGATTAAAGTGTTTGCTTAAAGATACGCTTCATAATGGAGAATATTTACAGTTAAGGAGGATAATTTTAATGGTGTTCTGTTCTCTGAGCTAGATGATTTAATCACCAAGCTTTCATTGTCATTCTAGACAATATCATCAGGATAAACTTCAGATGATGATGATGTTGTCTAGGATGACAATGAAAGCTCCATGATTAAGCCATCCATCAAAGACAACACAACACCATCAAAATTTTCTCCATATTACGAAAAGACGCCTTGGAATATACAAACTATGCATTTGTGTATGTACACAAATTGTTGTAGAATAGTTACACTGACATTCCTATAAAATAGTGCCACTTCAACATTCACTTGTAATGACTTAGGATTGGGAAAGTAGTAACAGTTTTATTCTGAAGTTACCACTTGTTTCAACTGCACATCAAAGAATATTCTCCCTCTAAACTGATTGAACGAAGTTGATCTTGATTAAACTGTGATAAGAAATCATCTCCAAATAAATTACATTTCCTGAATTAACTAACCTAAAAATGTTTTACTGGGACATACCATGTGGATTTCAGACAATTATCTATGGTTCTTGTTAGTATTTTTTGTCTTCCAAAGTTAAGTGAGTAGTTAATTACGATACTGATGTACAGTGCTGAGAATACAAATTTATTTGTTGGTGGTTTGATGTCTGTGAACGACATAACATCAGCGTTCAAAGAACATCCAACCATTATCATCCTAATTTTGAACTACAAATCTTCTCCAGCATTTCAAGATTTATTTGCCGATGAAATTACTTTAAAGGCAAGCGCTAATCTTACAAAGTTGGAATAAATATTAAAATGTCAACCGGTCAAGTGAAGCAGCTTTTGTCTTTGTTTAAGCAGTTTTCAGAATTTCATAATGATAACAGCTCTTTGATATGATAATTTTCCAGAATTGTTCAACTGGTGAATAAATACTAAAGCAAATCACTTTCAATTTACATCGTATAGCTGCGAAAACTATCTTTCAATAAGCAAGAAATGTCCACTATAAATAATTACTTTCCCCTAGAGACATTATGCTTTAACTTACTAATCCACAGCTGAATCAGCAAGTTGGGGTCAGAAGTTACTCACTGTTATTTACTCATTTAAAAGATACTGTTGAAGTGCTCACGATCAAGTTGCATAACTTAAAAAGATTTCAAGTCGAATAATTAAAACACAAATTACCAACGACTTCACTGGTGACTTAAACCTACCGCTATATTGCCTAGGAAGTACACAGTATTTAAGGAAGGTAAGGGAAAAACTTAATCTGATTTTTCCTATTTGCATATTCCATTTACTTTGAATGCAAATGTAATTAATGGCTGGACCAAAACTGAAGAAACCTGCCTCTGGTTGTAATAGATTGAGCAGCAGTTTACTGTGACAACAGAGATATTGTTTTCAATACGGGACAAACATTTTTGGAAAAAGCCTATCAAAAGTATCAACTTCTTTTGGTTCAGTGCAAAATATACATTTTTCTTCGCTTCATATAATTTAACGCAGAATTCGCTCTTCTTAGCCTAATCAATTGATTTTTTTCAACTACTTAGTTTAGTTGAGTTGCACTTATCGTTATTCTATGGTCAATTTATGCAAAGTACTAACAAATTAAAGTAGAAAAAACAATTCTTGCTTTACTATAAACTCATGATTCTAAGATTATTCTTCACTTTTGTTGCAGTAAATCACAGTAAGATTTTCATTCAATTTATTACTATTTGTACCTTGGGTTCCTAGTGGAACATACCGCTTCAGTAGCATGTCGCCATTTCACTCTCTTCTCTCCAGTCTTTTCAACCTAGATCCATTATTGTCCATAACCTTTAATTTCTTCCTCACACGATCTCCTCCATGTTACCCTCGGCTTAGACACCTAACTCGTCCTTTCCCATTTGGCTCCCACTCGAGGATCTGGTTTGGTGCGTGATGTCCCCATACGGTTTTCTCAAAGTATGATGAATCCAATCCATCTCCACTTTCTTCTATATACTTGTTGGGTTATGGGTTCTCGATTGGTTTGTTGCCAAGCCACAGTTTTTAGTTGCTTGTCGAGTCTCTGAAAAATCATATAGAAACACTGACTTGACTGATATTAGGGTTGAAAATCCGAATGTTGTTCACACTTTATGCTGAGTGGAGTTGAGTGGAGTGCACAAGATCTACACACTGGTTTCGGGTTAATGCAGTAAGGTGTGTCTTGCTGTCTTTCCGATCCTGCCTGACTTTCACGTCCTCGTCTGTGCCACCACCACCTGTAGTTGAAACGATGCTGACCTGTCTAGATGGTAGTTGAAAGAAACAACCTCCTTCAAATTTCTCCCGTTGATGGTGATTGCAGCTTGTTGTTATTGTTGTTGTTGTTATTGGTGGTGGTGATGATGATGATGGTGTTGTTTTGGTATTTTCATCGTCTCTGTCTTGTCCAAGTTCATGTTTAGGAAGTGCCATTCTCGCTGACCTGCCTCGCGTCTTCTGTCAACTTGTTGGTTTTCGCGTGTACATCTTCGAGCTTGTGTGGTATTAAACACAAATCGGCATCGGTGAAATTCGAATCTCCTAAGGTCTTTCCATCAGTCAGTCAGCATACACACATCATCTCACTCCTCACACTTGTCTGTTACATGATCCAATCCAATCCAGTTGACCACGATCAAGAAAATCGTTGGTGATAGTAGGCGGCAACCTTGTCTTACTCCCTCCTCTATTCACTTCAATTCACTTCACCTCACTTCGTTTCACTTCAAATGCATCACTGAGCTTTCCATTGTGAGTCACTCGACATGTAGCATCTAGCATGTACGATATATCATATAACTGTTGAATGAGGTTGATAGAGATTTGTGGAACTGAAACCGTGGTGTTGAAGTAGGTGCTTGCCAAATCACTTCTCGGTTGACGCTATTGAAGGGAGGTGTTTTCAGTGTGGATGTAGTTGAGGTGTAGTGTTGACTGGCATTGTATGGTATGTTGTGTGTTGTGTGATGATGTGTAGTGTAGTGTTGTAATTTGATGTGGAGATGATTTGTTTTTTGTGAAGTGAGCCGGCCAGCCTTATCAGGTTGTAATTTTGAATTCTGAGCGTTTTGTAGTCTTTCCGGGGTGATGCGGAGTAATATATTGCTTGGTGTTTACAGGAGCATGATTCCGCGTCACTTCTTGAAAAGACTTAGGTCGCCCTTCTTCCAATCTTTAGGTAGCTTTCCTTTCTATGAAACCTTGCAGAATATTGGTGTTAGCATATCCACTGTTGTCTCTGTGTGTGTTTTCAGTACTTTAGGTGGAATTCCATCTGATCCTGCTGGTTCCTCAGATTTCAGCAACTTTATAGGGTTCAAGATTTCTGCTTTTATCATTTCAGAATAAGTGTATATGAAAGCCATCTTAAATAAAACGTTAAAATTATATACATAATTCTTTCAGCTACATGTAAAACAAGTCACTGGGAAACCGTACAACAGTGTTTCTCCCTGCCCAAAGAATAAGAAAACTCTATTGGTTATAAATTAGTAAATAAGTTCGACTGAAGAAAGGAAACACCAAACTCTCTGTTTTCAAGAAAGTATGAAAGTAAACGAGTTTAGAATACACTGTTAATAAGAACTAATATATAGCTAATCTCTAGACCATAGGTGTTATTAATGTCCTAAATGAACTTCACTGCCAGGTTTATAATCATGTGACTTGTTCAATAACTACTCTTACCATCCACTGTCCTCAAGTGGAACAATAATCTTTGAAAAACGGAAAATTGTGTGCTTATTATATTGATATGAAAAAATAACTGAATTAGAAAAGTACAGTTACAGTGGCATCTTCTGACTTTTGTACAAATTATAACAACAATCTTAAAAAATAAGATGGTTACTTGGCATAGGTTGAAGAACAACTGAAATCTGAGGGGGCTAAACAGTTGGTTCTTCCCAGCTTGAGGATTCTCAGTAGTGCACAGCCATTCCTTCGAAATGAATTCACCTCAGCACTTCTAAGACATTAAGTGAGTACACTGCCTTTCAGCCAGTGAGCTGGAATCTAATAGCCAACACTTCCATTCTTCTTTCAATGCATGAAACAGCACAAGTCACATTCAACGCCACAATTCGTCACCATACTTTGTTCTACTAACAATACAGGTCACAAATTCTCATTGGGACTTCGAAAAATCAGTTCTGAGGTGATTCATTAATGGGCAGTGGATGAAGATTCATTTGTTGGTTCCTAGGGAATAAGTGGTTTAAGAGTAGTTTATATTCGGCATTGATTTCAGTTTAAGAGGTATACAATGCTGTGGAGCTTTAAACTTGGATGAAAGAGAGGCTCAGTTGTGTTAAGTTTTCGATGATTCTCCAGACGATGTCATTGTGTAATAAAACCTAATTTTGAAAGATAAGGCCTTTACAGAATAATAATTTCAGACCATATTTTATTTAAAATTCACTCTAGTCAAGTTACTTATGTAACAAAATAGACCTGAAGCTGAATTATTATAACTGTTTTTGTATGATACCGTCGTTGATTGGACCGAATTGATCGGCCTCTATTAGCATATGGGCTCCTGTGCGGATGCCTCAATATTGCCTGTCTTTTAACTATGTATAGTATCGATTGGCAGTGGCTAGCGGTGGAATCCAGGATGCGCATTTCGTCCTATTTGGGACTTGTCAGCTGGATGTACCTGCTTCTCAGTGAGTGATGTTGTTCCCACCGGGATTCGGATTCGGGTGCGATAACTTCATACGCCAGAGCGTTACCCACTACACCAACGACGGTATATTATCATGGCAATCATGGCTCGGTGGTGTAGTGGATAACGCCATGGCGTTTGAAGCGATCGCACCCGGCTCCGAATCCCGGTGGGGACAACATCACTCACTGGGAAGCAGGTACATCCTGCTGACAAGTCCCAGATAGGATGAAATACGCATCCTGGACTTCACTGCTAGCTACGATCCATCAATAACTGAAGCTGAATTACTTTTAAGACACATCTTAATATATTTATATGTGTATATGTATTGCTGTGATATACTTTCTCATCATATTAAAGCCGTTTATCAAGTAGATCTCATGCTTTCGTATTCAGTAAGGCGCCACGAAGGTGTTTCTTATTTAGTGTAGTAAACATATTTAAGTACTATTCATACAAGAATACATTGTGTACATATTTTACTCTTTTTGGAGTTGATATCCATCCACTACATAGCTCTTGATGTACCCAACTATCTTTCGACGAGTGGTAGTACGGTAAGACTGTACTATACTCTAGAATGTGATAATTTAGCTGGAAATGAAAAAGTTGATTGCCAAGTAATGAATGAAAAGAGGGAAAAACTTAATGAGTTTAATGTAATGAACTCTTCACATACAATCATTTGCCACTTTAGCAAATTTCATCAAATAGAACGAAAAATGTTCAGACAGCTGCAGACAAGTTAGATCAATAAAAGTTGAAAACCTATGAACTACATGACTATTGACCTAAGTTTCCTGAAAAAGTGGAGATGAATTATAGAGTAGAGTGAGGAGTTAATCACTTGTATTCATCCAAAGATGGCAGACAGATTGTTTGTAATGACGAATTGGTTATACTAACGACTAAGTTTTCACTTTGAGGGATGGAAGTAGCTATAGTAATTTCACCTTGTGAATTGAGACTTAAGATATAACAGGTACTAGAAAGTAGGTAGATAAAAAACACCATTTAGCCTGCAACAAACGAGATTTCATAACACAGTGACTAGTTCTCGACTCTAAAACGTCACTACTTGACGAATAGGCTCGAAAATTAAATATTCTGAACACATAGTCATGGTTGACTAAGTGACTAACTGCATTGCCCTTACATCAAGTATGTTGCGAATGATGTTATTGCTTGTGATTCCCTATTGTTGATTGGACCGAATTGGTCAGTCTCTATTGGAATATGAGCTCTTGCGTGGATGCTTCGATATTGCCTGAAGTTTCAAACTGATAGCCGTGGAATGCATGACACGTGTTTCTTCCTATTTTAGACCCATCAGCTGAAGTTACCTGCTTTCCACTAAGACTGGATCCTAGGACCGATCACTTCAAACGCCATGGCATTATTCAATTGCTTACTGAGTTACGATAGCCACTCTTTGTGTGCAGAGCTTAGTTTACATGTTGTTGGTTGTAATTTACAGTTGCAAGTGCTGAAATCGAAAATTTTTATCGACTGTATAGTTTTCTACGATTATAGTTGATCTTTGCCTTCTCGTAAAATGTGGTGATCAAAATCATGCTTATTTTTAAGAAAAAACACTTTTTCACATGGTGTTTAGTACGGGGGTATACTGATAGCATCTACATTAATTAGTCATGTGTTTTCAACTCAAGTTTGTAAGTCGTCAACGTAAAAGGAATAAACAGCATATTATGAAAGGTCAATATATACTATATGAAAACCTTTTTTGACTACTTGTACCACTTTAAAATATCTTACGGTTAGAAAAATTTTGAGTAGGATTAAATAACTTTTGACATATCGAAGCGAAAGTGATGAATAGATTTTTCGTACTCAAAAACTTATCTCATGGAAATGGAATCGATTGTTTACCACCATCAAGCAAACTGTCAGGAAATATCGGGGCATATGTATAGCAGCCAATATCTCAGCATTAGGTGATCAACTCGATTTTGTATAACAACAAAGAAACAAGATCTAATAAATAAAATAAATTCAAATGAAAAAAAGCTTCAAAAAATATTCAAGAATAGTAGAGATGCTTTTTAGTCAGTCAACTTTAGACTTATTTCCAAACATCACAGACAAAACTTTAAAGTTCCAAGTTGTTTTATGCACTGGGCACAAATTTATCAAGTCGGTATTCATCATGAACTGACATCAGTTGGAGGAACACTGAAGATCCGGGATCACTCGATAGCTGTTTCTTCCTAGTATGGAACTCTTCGGCAGTGCGCATCCTTCACCGCGCTCTCCAAGGAACTAACCCAGGACCTTCAGGTTCCGCTGTCAGCATGTTGTCTTCTAGCCACTGGATCGGAATCCAGTGGTTCATATCTCCAACTTCTGTCAGTTCAGGACAGAGTGAGACCTTCTTTCAATGTCATTGTTGAGTATTTGTCTTCACAGACACCACGTTCGCCCTACCGTTCACGACTCCTCATTGGAACTCCAGGAATCACCACTCAAAGCTAGTCATAGATGGGGACTAGATAAATTTTCACAGAATGGTCAGTTCTTATTCATTTTAGTTATATTTTGGGCAAAATTGTTGCCCGTAACACCTACAACAAAGGTGACTCAACGGAACTAAGTAACAAACACCGAAAACAATACATGGGATATTTATTGATAAATGTCTGAATAAAAACTTTAATTGTTAATGTGATCACTGATAGTAATTTTACTCTAAATATGATCAAAATTAAAAACTTATAATTGTATTCAAAAGTGTCATTAAACTTTCTTTGCAATGCAATAATCCTATCCATAATGTACAAACATTTCTGTAACATATCTTAAATTGTTTGTTCGAGTCCTGTTTAACATTTAAGGAGAAAGATTTTCTTTGTTTGGTAAAAATGGGTCAGTTTAATGGACACAGAAAGAGGAAATCTAATTCACTATATATGCTAGTGTGTTTGTAAAATAGCGAAAATTTCTATGTATACATTTGTATTCCAGAAAGTTTCCACAATATCATTGTCATCAGGAATGTTCCTCTGGGGATCCAAAAATCCGGAATGTTCAAATTAAACATTGTTTTGACACAACACAACACTATGACCAAGAAATATATGTGAAATGAATAACTGCCTGAAAGTTAAAGCAAAGGACCAGAGCAGAAGATGATCTTATAACAAAACTTTGTTTACGACAGCTACTCCATGGTTTATTTCTTTATTAGAAACGTTTATTTCTCAGTTACAACTATTTATTACATTAAGATGCTAGCCAACTAGAAATCCCTTTAGAAGTATATCGACTTGGTGGATTGTTATTTTTAGATATGTGCTTTTGTAAGTTTATTTTACAGCACCAAAATATTTTGTCATTTCAATAACTAACGTCTTTGACTGTTCTCTTGAAACATTACTCTGACATAACTAGGAAATATGGACCATTGGATTTCGGCTGAGTGAATCAATGGTAATATGCTGGTCACGCATCCTGAAGGTCCTCAGTTCGATCCCTGGATGGTGGGGTCAAGGATGTGCACTGTTGATAAGTTCCATACTAGAACGAAACAACTGTCAAGTGACCACAGGTCCCTACTTTCTCTCCAGGTGACGTCAGACCATATTAAATACAAACTTCAAATTAGTCTCACACTTGTTTGCCAATGTTCACCTTATTTCCAGTTGCCTCTTTGTTTAAATTTAGATGAAAACAGGAGTGTTAAGTTTCTTTTAGGAGACAAATACACCAGTTTGACTGGTATACAAATGGCATTTACTACGAAATCCAACTGACTTATTCCCACTGGAAAGTATAAGGAGGTTACACCGAAGGTTATTATCTTTTTTGACGACTCATCTTCACAGCTGTACATTGGTAACATACAGATAAAACGATGAAATATTCCATACAAGTTTCCTGTCAAATTTCAAACTTAGTCGACAGATTTATGTAGGAGATAAAACCATACTAAGTAGCACAATACATGATCTAAATATCTTTTGTAGAATGTAGTGAATAGTGCGATCTGGTATCTAGTAAAATAAATAAACATATGAGAAAATACGTCGATAAACTAAATACAAAAATAAGACAAATAGAGGTCAAAAGGGTCTGATTAAGACCGCGGTAATAAGTGTATTTGCACATGTGGCCTTTAAAAACACGACCGAAATTTAAAGCTGTGAATTGCAAAAGTTTTGGCTGTTTAATCCTCATGCATTTTAAATGATTTGGTTAGGATTTATAGAGAATTTTGGACGGGTTTTCAGAGTAGCCAGTTGTCCAGATAGAGATGGCCTTGTGCTAATAAATTAAATCGCTTATGAAAGTCTAGACCGAATAATTTAACCTATGTTTGCATCAATAAACTAAACAGAATTGCTTCTTCGTAGCTTTGCGCTATAACGTTAAGTAGTACCGTTACCTTTAGTCACAATCAGTATTACTTAATTGTTGTTCCATCTAGTAAATCTAGTACCATTAGATGCCATCAAACAACAATACTAACTGCTCTAACGATACTTTTATTTGTGTCTTATAATAGTTTTTGAACGATAGAATTCATAGATTCATAATTGTCGAGCAAGAGGAGAAGGCTTCTGAAAACCAGTCCTGCTGTTTACAATACCTAGAGGGAATACTTAACGTACCTATGAATTAATGACCAGTTGGTAAATGGTGTGGCTGTTTAGTCTTTAGAACTTAGCAATAATAGAAATCTATTAGTCAAGTTTTGTAACCTGACCAATCAGCAAAGGGGTGTGGCACCACAATGCACTATGGTATGCAGTTAGATGGTAACAGCTCCCTAGTCTTACGATTTTACTTTTTAAAAACTGAGAAAGTCACTGAATATTTTTAACAGTGCAAAACCAGACGCTTTAACAGTAGTCTGAATGAGATATCTTATCATTCAGTTATAGACATACATTCGTTTGAATTCATGTGTAAAGGAAATCTCGTTTAGTCTTGGTGTCAAAATTTTAGTGATGTTATTTATTCGAATGTATAGGATGGCAGTCAACTGGACATCTACCTCAACTTCATCGACTTTGAGAAGGCCTTTGACAGCGTCGACCAACAAGTAATTTGGAAACTGCTTCAATACTACTGAATTCCACAGACCTTTATCAATCTCATATGAAGATGCCACATGCCAAGTAATTCACAATGAGAAGCTCAGTGATGCCTTCGAAGTGAAGACAGGGGACAGCAGTAAAACAAGGCTGCCATCTACCATCTTCCATCATATTCTTGATTGTGGTCTACTCAACCGGATCATGTACCAGACAATTATGAGGAGCTGTGAGAAGAGGGGGATATGCTAGCTGGATCGCGGAAAACATCCCAGAAGACTTGAGTTTCACCAACGATGATTTGTGTCTGATGTCACACAAACTGGAATATGTACAGGCGAAAACTAACAAGTTGACAGAAGAGGCGAGGCAGGGCAGCGAAGACCGGACATCATGTGAATGTAGTGAAGACAGAGGTTATGAAGATACCCAACCAACACCAACACCAACAACAACAACATCAAGCAGAAATCACCATTAACAGGAGAAATTTGAAGGAAGTTGTCTCTTTCAACTACCACCTAGACAGGTCAGCATCGTTTCAAATACAGGTGGTGGTGGCACAGACGAGGACGTGAAAGTCAGGCAGGATCGGAAAGACAGCAAGACACGCCTTACTGCATTAACCTGAAACCAGTGTGGAGATCTTGTGCACTCTACTCCACTCAACTCCACTCAGCATAAAGTGTGAACAAGATGGGGATTTTCAACACGAACGACAGTCAAGTCAAGTCAGTGCTTCTGTATGACTCAGACACTTGACCCTCTAGTGGAAGCCAGATGGGAAATGACAAGTCGGGCGTCCGGAGATGACATGTAGGAGATCGTGAGAAGAGGAAATGAGAGCTTGTTGGCTGTCGTGGATCCAGGTTCAAAAGATTTCAGAGAACAGAGAGCATTGGAGACGTGCCACTGAAGCCGAATATTCCATTAGGAACCCAAGGGACAAATAATAATGATAATAATATTTATTCGAATAAGCAGAATAATGAGGTAGGAAGAAGATCAATGAAGTAGTGGGATTGAGATATACTTTTGCTGGATTCAAACATTAGCAAACAATGGCGGCATAACTAATCAGATAATAGGAACAATCACGTGGATATTGCCATTCACTTCTATTAAAAAATGATTATTTGTACAAAAAGTCACAAAAACGAGGTTATTTTATTTTGTTCTTTCTTTGGAGGCGTTACATTTGGCCTATTTTGAAGATATCTAGAACAATAATCATATAAAAATGTACAAACCAATTATAGGTAAGAAATATGTCCAATTAGTTGTCTGTTTTATAGATAAAATTCAACTTTGAAGACTATTCTGTTGATGGTAAATTTCCTCCCTATTCTGATCTTAAGCAATTCATCTCCATGCTTTTAATCAGTAGTCCCATGTTATTGCGTTGAGCCAGCCACAGAATAATTTATTACGTTGGACTACTTTGAAAACATGTTATTTCTTCGCAGGGGATTAGAAATAAAGTAAATAAAAGGGTTCGGTTATTGTATGAATCGATTGTAGGAATCTATTTTTTTGAACTGCTGAAAAGTAACCGACAAAGCATTTCTGATTCTCATATTCAAGGCGATTACGGGGTAGACTTATCTGGATAACAATGAATTTTTCAAGACACAAGTGCATAATTTTAATTATCCACACTTGTCTAGGGTATTCAAGTACATATTAAACTGTCCCAGGTCATTTGTAATTGAATCTCAAAGCATTCAGGTGTTTGAGAAAACTGTGGTCTCGTTTCGCCTTATTTGTCACGTGATATGACATGACAATATACGCTTGTTGCTTAGTTCTTTGAAAATAGGAAAGGTTAGAGAACAGTCAGACGTGTTATCTTGGGCTTTCTAGGAGAGCGACCGCTGAAGTTTTGATATTTACGCATCTAACTACATGTTTTTCTTGACACTATGAAGCGTTCTTATTGGTTGTGGAGGGTTTCAAGTTTTCTAGAGATGAACTTAGCTATCTGTATTGACTGGTGTACTGAGATCGAGTATTATCTTACAGAAATTATATGTATCAGTTTATTACGCTGCCACCTAAAACCTTCATGTTATAATTCAGTGACGAAGCAAAAACTGTCTTTTTATTTCTTCAACTGAAGATCCAAGTATCATTACTGTCAAGTTAAACTTCTTCAATTTTAGGAGATGTGAGCTGTTTTGCTTGGGACATTTTTGGATGATTACCACAATTGCTTAAGACAGTTTTTCTGAATATCCGGATAATTTTTTCAATCTTCCTTTTGGACATATAAAATAAACTTCTACAATATCCATTCAAGTTAGCTATAAACTATATACTTAAGGGGTTCTACATCCAGATTTTAACTAAGCTGAAACTGTACAATTTAATGTGTTTTTAAAATAAAAGGAGTTAAAAGCGCTTTTTCTACTGATTGCAGCTAGTTTTCTAACTGATGCTGTGGGTTGAACATCCTTCTCAAGTTACTTAAAAGTGAAATGTTTAGTATGTTTAATGTCATTTGTATTTCAAGTAGATAGTGTAGTTACTAAAAATTCTAGCCATATGTATGAACCTACAGTTAACTTTCTGTGCATCATTGTAAAGTCTGGAAAGAGGATGAGACAACTGTCCAGTGATGTCAGGTTTTCAGATACTTTCCGTCTGGTGTCACTTCAGGATGAAAACCGCTTTCAAATGGATAAACAATGAGAGGTTTCTGAATGACATCCTACGTCCAGATGAATATTTTAACCTGTTTTTTTTAACTCAGTACATTATCTACCTGGATTTATTCTATAAACCGAGTATATCAGCTTTACTGTCTCATATATGTCGTTTAATAATACATATGTGTTATGACCGCACAACACTTCACTTGACTAAGTACTAATTTCAGCCAAGAAAACTTGTGCGATAGCTGGAAACATTCATTTTAGGATTCACATGACACATCGAACATGTGGTCTGTATTTTATCGGTGAGTGGTCAGTAGACAGTACGATCAGAATGGAATTATGAAACCGGCTACTGTTAATGTAGTCTTCCTAGACTATTTGATAGTTTTAGTTGA